TTTAGTCTAGATTTAGTCAATGAAAACTTAGTCACATTTTCGTCATGCTGTATAATGGTTTAACTTATAGTTGCTCAAAATTATAATCACAATGATTGTTGTCATTTGAGACATTTATTTTTACATTTCAGGTATTGCACTTTCACCAATAAGCACAAACCAACAGAATGTGAACTCATACACATGGTTTATTTGACCTCCTCTAGTGTACTGATTTTTATAGGCTATTTAATATAAAAATTAATATCAAAGACTTAGATATGCACTCTCTGTGTCTACATTATGAAAACTGGTAAAAACAAACAAAAAATATTATATTCCTAATAGTAATTCCAATAATTCTAAATTGCAATAATATTTCTCTATTAAAACAACAGCGGTTGAGTAAGTGCATTTATTCATCAACCACAATTGCAAACAAAATAGTCGAGATCTCATCACAGAACACAGACTGGCTGAATGACACTTTCATTTAAGCCGAACATCTCACATGGAGATCGCTGAACTCCAGCTTACTTGTTTGTCTGTGTTTTCAGATCAGTGCTTCCGTAAGGCTGGCCACACACTTGAAGATTTTAAGGCTGATTTTAAGACCGATTTGCACCCCCGAACGATCAGGGGGCGTGGCTAGATTCGAGGCTTGTCCAAAAAATCCTCTATTGTGTGGTGTCGTTACGATTATTCAACTGCTCCTGATCGAGACAGAGCGTCCGATCAGGTGTCGTAGATATCAAATAGTGTTATTTGGTAAAACATACTGGTAAAACATACTGGTAAAAAATGTATAGCCTGAATGCACTGTAAGTCGCTTTGGATAAAAGCGTCCGCTAAATGCAAATTATTAATTATTATTGTTCTTCTGTCTCTGATGTGATACCCGCGATAGCCAATGAGAGTGAGCAAGCGTCACCTACCATATGTTGCGTGCTTCTATGGCTGAAACTTGGCAGCCACAAACATGCCAAGAAAGTAGAGTACTGAGAAAGAACATTACCCATATTCTTTTTTTCTATTTTGTTTTTCAGACAAAGTTCATTGTCTTTTAACAGAGAAGCTCTGATTTGGGGATTTGAACTCTTGATATCTGGCAACCGCACACATGAAAGCTCCTATAGTAGAGGCTAGGGATGTGCATCTCATGACTGAGGCCGATACGATACGCATCTCGATGCATAGCCAACGATACGATACATTAAAGATACATATGAAGCAGCTACCGATGCGATACGATTCACCCCTGTTACGATGCAGTGCGAGCCGATTTCGATTCGATTCAACATAATGCGATTCAAAGCAATACGATGCAATTGAAAAAATATGATCACTTTTAATGCCTCGAGGCCTGTTTCATAAAACAAGTTTACCAAATAAGCCGGCTTATTTCAGTTAGTCTGACTCATTGTCAAATGATTTGGTTCCATAAAGCAAATTTAAGATTGATCAACTTCAGTCACTGTGGCAACTTATGCTGGGAAACTAACCTGGTCTAAAGCAGGTTAACTAACACTGACCAATAGGAACGCTATTATTTAACTTTTTTTTTTTTTACAGTTTCTAGCCAAGCAGAAAGGCTCTCTGGTTTTATGACAGCTGTACCTTTGCAGAACAGATAGCAGAACATTAGAACATTACAATCTAAAATTGCTCTTTAAAGCATTAAAATAACTCAATTAAAAGTTAAAATCACTGAATTAAAAGGAAAATAAACAATAAAGAAAATGACTTCTAAACTGCTATAAGAAGCACACATTAACTAATTTGAGCTTCGTAATTAGTACTGAACTAGCTTACATTTGATTTACCCATTACAATAGTCCTTTTACAGTTACTGCTATCATAAAAATACACTTTATATATATTCACGCAGCAGCAGCTTGACAAACAAATACATAGATCACAGATTATTGGTCACTTTCTAAATAATAAAAGTATAGCGCATCCACTAGTAATTATATATAAATAAATCGTTTTTTACCGATGCAAATATGTTAGAAACGATGCATCGCGATACAAATGCCGACTTGTAGCCGATACACACTTTTTAAACTGATGCATCGCATCTTTAACTTTTTATGCCGATGCACCGAGCGAATCGGGGAATCTTCCCATCCCTAGTAGAGGCACGTACAGCAGTCCACAATAATATTTTGTCTCCTTTTTTTCAACAAAAATAGAAAGAGATTTTTGCATAGTTTTTGTACATTTTAGTCTCGTCTTTTATCGTCAACAATTTTGCATGTTGATATTGTCACAATTATCGTTAATTGACGGTATTGTTGTCTCGTCATCGTCTCGTTTTAGTCATGGGAAAAAAGCTTGTGAACAAACATTTTTTGTCATAGTTTTTGTTAACGAAATACTCCACTGAACCAAAACTTCTAAGATCTAAAAAGGTCATAAAGGCGTCATAAAACAAATCCATATGAACTGAGCTTCAAGTGTTGTTTAGAGATACAGATGCTTTCTATGATAAACAGATTTAATTTAGGCTTTTATTTACATTTGAACAATGCTTGACACACATAAATAGAGCACATAACATTGCGTAACAAGGAAACTCAAATGTGTGTGATGCGCGACAACCAATGAGTTTTGATCTAGCTTGTGACACACAAATGGGTTTCCGTGTTTAGATGTTTATTGTGCTCTGTGTATGTGTTTACATGTGAATGAAAGCTTAAATTAAACCCGTTTGTCATATAACACAGTTGTATCTCTTCACAATATTTGAATTAAACCGCTCGATTCATATGGATTTTTGGGTGAACTATTCCTTTAACTTGCAATGATTAATAGATCTTAATCAAGGTAGTGCCATATTTAATTTTTGACAGGAATGAAAACAAGGCTGTGAGGCACAGAAATACAGTGTTTTCGATGGATTGTACTGTTATTTAACAACATACTGGTTGTTCAGCTGACAAATTGTCTTTCCGGAAAAAGCTTTCAGCAGACAAAAACTCCATAACAGTTTTAAAAGTTGCGAGTTATGAAAATTATGTGATCTAGGACCTTTATAAAGTGTGTTGCATTGTAACGACTGCAGTCTATCCTTCACAGCCTCATTTTCATCTGTGTTGGATTACATGATTGCATATGAAGAGTTCAGATGCAAACACCTCTAAGTGCCGTCTGAAATTTTCTTTTAAAATGAGCTTTTTTTCAGACTCCTATGTGTAGGTTCAGCAGTTTCACTTTAATAGCAATGAACAGTTCTTTTCATTGCCATTAAAGTGAAATAACTGAACATAAACATAGGAGCCTAATAAAAAAAGCTAATTGTAGAAGAAAGTTTCAGACGGCACTTAGAGTTTGCATCGGAACACTTAATATGCAATCATGTAATCCATAAGAATGTAACTGTATTCTGATTATGAGCTTTTTAAAGCATAACATAATCTAATTGCAAGTACTTAATTTTTGGAATCTGATTACGTAATCCGGATTACATGTAATCAGTTAGTTCCCAGCACTGGCTACAGCTCTTAAAAAGGTTTCCTGTTTCTTTAAATATTGTGTGTAGTTTGCAGATCACCTACACAATCCAAATCAACAACAAAATGGATATCAGATAGCAATACTACAAAAAACAGCATTATATCTCAAATTGTCAAACAAACCTTCAATTAGGTGACTGGACATACAAAGAAATGTGGCAATAAAACTCCTCAGATTTCCAATCTCGGAACACACGCGTAAATTCTTACTTTCAAAACCTCAAAGTCATACACGAAGGCCCGAGGCAATGTTAGCGTCTTTTCCATATCAGTCCCTGAGCCTAGTCAACACTGGAAGAGTGTGCGTTCCCCTTTAAGAGGCCCCCACCGTTCCCGACGAGGCGGGAGGCAGAGCGCATTCCTGGAACAGCGCGAGAAAGGGGAAAAAAATCACCAGCGACCTGTTTCAAGTCCCCCCAATAGAAACTGTGCCTGATTTGTGGCCAATGTTGGAGATGTGAAAAAAAAAAGAAAGAAAGAAAGAAAGAAAAAAAAAGGGGGGGGGGGGGAAGAGGGAAAACACTAAAGGGGGTAGCTATGGAGATAGACCGTTTTCCTGGCTGCTTTCTTTGACAGGTGTTGAGTGGGGTAAAAGTCTTAAAACAGAATCCAGCATGTACGCCAAAGGTAAAGGAGCTGTCGTCCCTTCTGATAGTCAAGCGAGAGAAAAGTAAGTGAATTGCGCGCCCTTTAAAGAGTCTCGCTTTGCTTATTACGGACTCACAACTTTCTAAAACTGTGCGTACTATTGTTTGAAGGTGTATTTAGTGCGAACTTGCGCTCTGGAGTGATCGTCCCGGAGTCTTCCTAACTTTATAGCCGGTTGTAGCACTTTAATGCTTTGAGTTGCCCGTGCATTTTCGATTTTATTCAAGTTTGGTTGCGCACCTGAACACATGAACTGTCCAGTGCATCCAATCTGAGTGATGTTGCATGCTCGCATCACTCATTTTAAAGCTTGTGTGTCTTTTGCATCAACATCACATGCCGTGCATCTGTTGTGTGAGAGTTACATTGCTGGATAAACGCATCCGAGTCTTTTTCTCACGGTTTTCGGACGTTTTTTTCAAAGTTGGGGAGGTGTTTAGTCGCCGTTCGTGTTTGTTTGCGCTGGTTTATTTCTTATTTAATGCTATTTGTATCTCATTGCGTGTGTATTTGCACGTTTTGGCTTTAAAGCTAACTGATAAATAAGTTATTTTTGTAATTCCGACACATATTCCCCGAATATTTTAATATTTTGTCTTTTGGTGAAGCGCAGAGTACCGGTTTTTATAAAAACTCTTGTTGCTTCAAGTTTTGCTGACTTTTCCACACTGCATACTGTAATATTTTATGGTAGTACATCACCATGTGATCTTTCCACTGTTGTGTACAATCTGTTGCCATAGAAACAACGTTACATCCCTTAAATGCAATAAAGTGACCTGTAATATTCATAAATCTGTCATATGTGGTCGAAGGTTACCGTGTCAGACTTGGAGACGATGATAGGACACTTAGTATGCGAGTCTGAGATGATTGTGGAGATGTAACACACTTAGGAAGGAAGAATGCAAGGAAATATTGGTGGTCATAGTTAAACTGCATGAGAAGATTGTGAATATGATGTATAGGATATCAGCATCCAAGAGAAATTGCTTCCATTCCAAGTTTTTGTATGGAAGTTCTGGAAGAAAGTGTAATTGTCTCAGACTTGGTTAGAGTTATTTTGTCGTTCAGATGTTGATTGCCACTTTGAAACTATTCATATTTCAGTGTTATGCAGTAGTTTTTGTGTAAAAAGCTTCCCAGAAGTTTGCCTCGTACCAGGGGTCTGCAACAGTTTGTGTACAAACAAGGTGTTTTTCCAAGAAACTTTCCATTAATGGTCTGAAACGGTCATTTCGACTCTTATGCTAGTGAACATCCTCGAACACAGGTTGTGCAAGGATGTAGACGGCTCCTCAAGTGTTGGTGCCACGGGCACCGCATTAACACCGCAGGTTACCGTTTCACGTGTTGTATTCAGAGATGACATGTTGTGACCACACAGGCTTTGTTCTGTTGTTGGAGGTTAATACATTTGTCGGCACTAGTCAAGCAAAGGTGTCATTAACCTTAAGCAGCTGATTTAGATTTAGGATGCAATAACCAAGTTTAGACATCATTCATTGGCGTCCTTGGCAAGTTTGCTTGGAGGAGCCACTTGAAAAAGTGAACTTGGGAGGACTTTATGAATCAGTAATGTCAAGTTTATTGCAGCATTGTTGACTTTGATTAGTTCTGAACAGATTTCAAAGCTCAGGTTCATCAGAGTTTAGCGTCCACAGATTCGATCTAATTCCGTGAATCAGTTGGAATGCCACAAGAATTTGCAATGTGTTTTTTTTTAGGTGGAAATGAATGAAAACGGATTCTGATCTAGGTCTCCTGTTTTCCCCCAACATCTTGAGCACTTCTCTGGCTTCCCTGAGTTTATTGGTGTGTCTAAGAGTCAGCGAGTAGGTCTGAAATGCATGGTTTTGATTTCATCCAGATGGCTCAGCCTCCTTCATAGAGGTGTTTTCAGCCACATATAAAGGGAATCAAGCATGCACACAGAAACAGGGCATTGTTCTTATGAAGAGCATCTGATTTGCTCTGTTTTGGATAAACGTTGCTCTCAGACATGGATGAGAATCAATTAATTTTCCATCTTGGATAGCTGGATGTATGGCTTTTTAAGTTTACTTTGAAGAGAGATGTTCTCTGTAATTATTTAGGGGCATATTTAATGATCGCTCTCAGTTGTAACGCAGAAATGTCTGTTTTGTGCGCGCGTGTTTGGAAATCTTTTCTAAAAGAGCGCTCACTCCGCTTTCATCAGAATAATTGAGATGGAGTGCCTCATGAAAGTTTATCAACATTTTTTATTTAGCACTATTGCTTTGCTGAATTTTTCTGTCAATCTTTGGTTATTTTGAATGAAAGATCAGCTAAATTGGGTTAAAAAAGTAAAAGGATGAGGAACAATGCCACACCAACAATATTATGACAGCACTTTTCATGATGTTAGTGGAATGTCAGGCCACTTGTGATTGGTTTGCCCAAGTTCACTTAAAATCATTGTTTTATAGTGTCTATTGTTATTTAAATACAAAATTGTATAAAAATGTAATATCAGCCATTTATTGACCAGTAAATAATTTTTAGCTTATTGATAACGGCCAGAATTTTAAAATCAGTGCATCCCTATAATTTTGCAGTTTTGCAAATGCTAGCATGGATGGTTTGCTTGACATTCACTGAAAAAAATAGTGTAGAAGCAATTTTAACTCAAAAATTGCTAGTAAATTTCCTAATTAATAACAAAGAAATGGCAAGTAACACATTGACTTAAATATGAAATTTTGATGTATAATGACTGAAATTGTGTTTTCTTGTAAAACATACTCCAATAATCTTTGTTTTATTTATACTTTCGAAAAACCATTTTTTTTACAGTGTGCAATCATCCTCAAAAAACTACTCCAGATTTTGATTGGCTTTTATGTCAAATTTGGGTCCTGAAGCAAAACTAAAGCCCCTCTGATGCATAATATGCCTTAAAACTTCTCTTCTAAACTTCAGCCACCTTTTCAGCTCTCCTCGCATGCTGTTTGTCTTCACACGAGACCCTGCAACTAAATTATTGAAATGGAGACAGCAAAGTTCATTTGTTAACTGTCTGCGCTTACGCTAGCTAAACTTGGCTCTGCCTCTTTTATGTATAAACGGAGTCTTGACTGTGAGCCTCGGGCGAGATGTCAAGATGTGTTCTCAGGTTAAGTCAGGAGAGCTCATCATGATGAGACTGGACACACAGTGAGCCGCCATGCCTGAATGGCAGAGCAAAAGCAGAACCGCGTCAGATATGCCTGTCCATCATCGGCCTATCGACATCCACGCTGCCGTCCGTATGCCGCTGTCAAGGTCTAAATTATTCCTGCTGCGCGGCTCTCAGAAGCAGGCGTGTGAAAACGATATCCCTCGACCAGTCTTATGGAGTCATTAATCTAAATATTAAGTCAATAGGTCTGCCTTCCTATTGCACCCCTAGCTGTTGTATTGCATGAGGATTAGTCGAGCGCACACCGAGCTTCTCAGCCTGTTGATCCTCCTCCTGCGGTCTCGGTATTAGTCGAAATACCGATATGTTCCTCTGTCAGTATGACAAAAAGTGTTCCCTGAAGCCCACTGTAGATGAAATCCTTCTCAATAATGCATCAGGCCGAGAGCAGGAACCCATCATCAACCTGCAGAAGGCTCCTCAGATCATCCAGAGCTTACGATGAAAATTTCATCCAGCCACTCGTGGGAACCTCCGTTTGATCCCTCTTAACGCCAGTTGGGTTCATACGAGCTGACTTGCGCTGTCGAGTACATGACTCCGTCTAGAGGTCAGGTTTTCAACAAACCAACAGATGTGAGCTTTGCATGCAAACTACATCTTTGACATTGACTAGCCAATGGAGTGCCTAAAAAATTGTTGAATAGTCTTAAGGCCCATTCACACCAAGATGAGAACTAACGCAATAATGATAAAGTTTTAAAAAACATTCTAGTTCTATGAGAACAGAGAAGTTCACACTACAACTATATGATAATGGCATTGCGGAACAATATCATTGGAATCACTTTTAGATAAATTTTTTTTCTAGCTGATGAACGATAAAAACATTAAAAAGCTTGAGCATTTAATATGGCAGACAACAAAACTGCAGTGAGTTTATAATAAACAGAACGTTATTATCTGTTGGTGTGGATGCTAATATATCGTTATAATTATCATTCTAAACTTGAGTGTTTAAAACAGTGGACGTCAAAACTGCAGTGTGCACTTATAATAAACAATATTGACTTGATGTGGACACTAATATAGTTACGGTTATACAGGTGCATCTCAATAAATTAGAATGTCGTGGAAAAGTTCATTTATTTCAGTAATTCAACTCAAATTGTGAAACTCGTGTATTAAATAATCTTATCATTTTTAAAAAGCTCGAGAATTTAATGCAGCAAGTGACAAAACTGCAGTGCATGCTTATAATAAACAGAATCTTATTATCTTTTGGTGTGGACGCTAATATAGTTATCGTTATAGTTATCGTTCTTAAAATGCTTGAGCATTTAAAGTAGCAGCCGACAAAACTGCAGCGCACACTTGTAATAAACAGAATGTTATCGTCTGTTGGTGTTAGGGCTGCACGATATTGGAAAAAATTCACATTGCGATATTTTTTTTTTCTGGGATATATATTGCGATAAGAAAAAAAAATCAGATGATTTCAATAGCTCTATTTGGAAAAAAAATAATCAATGATTGGGGTGATTTTTTAGGTGAGTAAATCAGTATAGGAAATAAACAAATTACAAGCATAGATAAATAACAGAACAAAGATACAAATGAAATAAGCAGTGCTTTATATTTTTCAGGTAAGTCTAACAGTATTCAGGTACAGAAATTGAATAATCAAATGTAAAATAACACTGCATAGTGTAGACAAACTTTGGGGCCGTTCAGATGTTGCACCTAAAAACGCGTGGAAAACGCCAGCCGCACAGCTTTCTCCTTCTTTCCAAAGCGCTCGGGAGCTTGCGCTTTCGTGGCGTCTGTCGTTGCTAAGCGACCGTGACCTGCGCTCTCCGCGACGACGCGGAAGTTTCAACAAAGGATAAATGAGTTTCCAGCACTGAAAATTCCTTGCAGTAGCTCTGCTACTAAATTTATTTAAAATGGGTATCTCTGTACACCTGTCGTGTCCGGTGTAGACATTGTGTCTGTGTGTGAGCAAAGAAAACAATCAGTATAAATATAACGATCAGTATAGGCCTACTAAACATCGCACATCCTGCGATGGGACTATCGCGGATGTGCACATCGTGATATCGATGCTGAAACGATATATCGTGCAGCCCTAGTTGGTGTGGACGCTAATAGTGGTCGACCGATACATCGCCAAGGCTGATATATCGGCCAATATTTGGCATTTTTCAAATATCGTCATCGGCCGATAAGTTTATCTGTTTGGCCGATGTGTTCGAGGCGGGACTTTTATTTTGACAGCGCGGCAGACTTTTATTTTGACGGCGCTGGGAACGGCAGCCGCAGCGCCTGAGCGCACACCGCTCACATTCTCCCTCTTGTTCGCTGTCGTCGTTCAGTTCTGTCTAATATGGATATAAGTCTATCTAATAATCAGATAGAACTGTTAAACAAATGAATTAAAATTTATACAAAAAAGTATTATAACGATTGCTTTAATATTATTAGTAATAGAAAGGCAAACATTATAATACTTTCTCATTTGCCGTCAGCATTCAGCAAATACACATTTATATCATTTAAACAAATCTTTGGATGACTAATGAACATTTAATTTCACAAACCTTGCAGACTTAGTCGAATCTAGTTGAGATCTTGTGAAGTGTGCATTTGTATCCTGCATGATCGCGTGTTCTCTGCGTGACGGTCGGTCCATGCGAATTGAATGTGGATAGGAGGAGAGTTCTGCTTGACTGGAGACGCAGGATCAACTTTAAACTAGTGATTTCAAATTATGCTGCGCTTTATGCATTTGCCCACTGTCATATATTTATGTAATTTTCATTGCGTGCTGTATGTAAAATGAGTGTTACCTTGGCTTTATTTGAAAAAAAAAAAAAAA